GTTTGCCGCGGGCTGCCCTCCGGCTTTGCCCCGCAGTAGCGGGGCGCCGCGTGTCAGCAGGAGTGCACGGCGGGGTGGGTCGCGGCGCCGCCCGAGAGCAGCTCCCAGGTGGTGGGGAAGGTGCTGCTGGTCGGGGGCCGCGCTGACGAACGGCCTGGCGGGACCCCCAGGGCACAGGACCGGCTCCCTGGGGAGGTTGCGGGACTTGCGGGGGCGGTTCCGAGGCCGCGCTAGGGCTGGGCGGGCGGAGCAGGCTGGGCGGTCGGTACCGGGCCGCGGAGCCCGACGGCCGGGAGGGCCCTTAGGCCGAGGGCTCCGGGCCTCAGCTTCCTCAGGCGTGACGCTGGAGGATGACAGCAGCCCCGGTGGCTGCTGCGAAGGTTAGGTCGTCGTGTAGACCGCCCGCTAAGTGCCTGGCTCACAGTAGGTGCTCTGGAGTTTAATGTTTCAGAGGGACGAGGCGTGGGACGTGAACGTGGCGATGTGCTGTGGGGCTGTCACGTGCCGTGAGAGGTAGATGACCGAGCTTCAGCTGGCAAGTGGACGGGCACTGGGGGGATTCGAGCTGCCAGCGCCCCCATCTTTTGGGTTAGCTTAGGCTCCCCGGAATGTCAGTTACATCAGGTATAAAAGGAGTGCACGTGCACCATGTTCTATATTTTTTTGTCTGTATGACTTCACGAATGCAGATTGAAAGTAAATTTTTGTAAATGTCTGGAAATTCCATAAGTTGAATCCAGATGGATCAAAGAGAAGAAATCAGAGCATACAAAACAATTTAATAAATTCAGCTATTTTTAGTTACCTCAGATCACCTGTAAAAGTCAGGTATTAGGACATCATGGTTTCTCAAGAAAACTGTCCCAGCTTCCTCTAGCGATGGGCCAGAATAGCAGCTCAGGCTTAGCTGAGTATGCTTTGCTTTACTATCGAACAGCAGTAAACAGTGCAAAGAAAAACGAGTTAATACTGCAGGTGAAGGGATCTCCCCGGTGCCTCTGCTGGTCACAGAGGCTAGTCCAGAACGTGGTGCCCTCGGCGGTCTGCAGGGAACATCGGAGCTCTCCCTGCCAGAGGAGCCACTGCCCATGGCCTGCAGGCCGCTGTAGGCTGGCGGAGGTGGGCGAGCGCATCAGCCCTCATCTGTTGTCCATATACCCTCCCCCCTCCTCCTCCCCCCTCCT